CCTTTCCATTCCAATAATGATTTAACTTTTTAATTATCACTTTAAAAATTAATTACAATAATCTCCTAACAACTACATTACATATATACCTTTTAAGTCAGGTTCTGCATGGTACTTTCCACATCAAAAACATTTATAATTTCAAAAAGAAAAATTAATGTATTTAATTTATTAAAATGAAAGATTGCAACTGATACTTTTTTGTTATTGGAATACTTGTTTTTTGTTAAAATTTCATTTATTTTACACCTCATCACCTTGCAGAATCCCCTTTCTTAATTCTTAATTAACCATTGTCTCTATTTCTTTTGAATAAACACTTTATTTTCATTTCTGTTCAAAGTCAGATTCTGCATGGTACTTTCCCTTTCAATTACATTAAAAACATTTATAATTTCAAAAAGAAAAATTAATCTATTCAATTAATCATAAAAACTGATACTACTCTCATTACAGCAATCTTCATAATTCATTTCAACTATATTCTATACATTCATTAAACATAATTAATAAACTTATCATAATTTCTTTTTTTTCACATTTATTCCATTTATCTTTGTATATAGTTTAACAAAAAACAAGCATTCCAGTAACAAAAAAAAATCAGTTCCAATCTTTCATTTTAATAATCTGTATTTTCCTACTTTCTAAATAATTCGTTACTTCTAATACATTTATTCTACATCTCATCATCTTGCAGAACCCCCCTTTTAAATTCTTAATTAACCACTGTCTCTGTCTTTTGAATAAACAGTTTCTTTTCATTTTTGTTCAATTTCTGTATTTCTTTATTTCCTGGTTCTGTTTCTTTTTACTTATTTTTCCCTTCATATTTCCCCTCCTTTTCTTACTCCAATTTTTTATCCCCCTCCCTCTTTAAGACTTCCTTCTGTTTTTCCATTTTCTGCTGTTTCCTTTTACTTTGTTTGGTTTTCAAAATATTCCCCTTTTTGACTGCCTCCTCAAATCTCCAGTTTTTAATTGCCATTCTTCTCACCCTTTGCTTTAATATTCATTGCTCCAATTGTTCATTTAAGATGGCCTCTTCTTTAATCATCTGCTCCTCTTCTGGCACTCCTTGTTGTTCTTCATGCTCTAAAATCATCATTTCTAAAAATTGTAAGGCAAAACCAAATGACTTGCCTCTTTCTTGTAGCATCTATCATATTTCTTAGTTCCATTTTTAATTCCAAAAAAAGTTCTGCTATTTTTAAACACTTCTGTTATATATCTTCAATTCTGTTATATATCTTTACTTTTTATGTCCACAATTATCCAGTAATTTGATTCAGCCAATGTCTATAAAGTTTATTTCCAACGATCAGCTTTTATTAATTCCTTTTTAGGTTTTCCCAGATTCATCAAATAGTTCAATGTCCATAAATTTAAGTTTATGCCCAAAACCAAACAATCCCAAGATAGTTTCTTCCTGCTTCTTTCTTTGTTTTCATATTCAATATTCCACTTTCATTTTCCAGGGTCTCTATTTAAATTGTAACAAAGTTTCACTTACTTTGTATCAAATCCAACTTTTAGAAGAGCCAGGTTATAAAGAGTCACAAATAATTTCTTTAACCACTAGATGACACTCTCTGTTATATCCAAATTCCGCCCTTTTTTCTCCTCGCCTTTTCTCTCTATTTAGGGCTTTTAAAATTCAAAGTTCCAATAAGTCCAAATATCAATTACTGTTTTTTATTTTTTCTTTGACACGTTCAAGTTCAGCTTTAGTTATGCCTGTTTAGTGCCAAGATCATATATTTATCCAATTTAAACAAATATCTTCTTCTTCCTCCTTTCAAAGTTCAAAGCCATTTTCAACTGTCAAAATTTTTTTCTTTACTTTCTCTGGTCACCGCTTTAATTATCTCTCTTAAAAATTCCTTAAAATTTTAATTCCGGGGTACCTTGAGTTTAAATGTTGTGCCTGATGAGCTCAGTTTTCATGCTGTCCTCTTCTTCACCGCTCCTGCACAATCTTGTCCAGGTTAGTTCTTCCTCTTCAGGGTGGCCATATTTGACCACCACTACAGCCATTTTCGGAGGGGAGTAGAATGCCTAGCCAGGGAGAGGAGATGCGGCTCCCCTTGACCCAGTTGGCGGTCTCCCCCTTCTTCACCACCCTTACAGGGTGGTTCTGGTCCCAAATGCAGGTGATTGGGGCCCTCCGATGGGAGAGCATGGATTGAAGCTGCATACAATCGCGGTTTCTGGTCCGTCAACGAGGAAGACATCACCGGAAGTCACAGTATTTTCAAAGAATCTTGATTAAGATTAATTAAAAGTAATTTTAAAGAACTCTGAAGATTGATTAGAAACAAGAGGATAGAGAACAATACAAAATATTTCTTATACTTTTTTTCCTCAATGTTGTGGTTTGCCGGCAGTAGGTGCGGATGGCTGAGGTCTCTGACAGCGAGGACTCGGATGAGGGGCCTGCATGTGATACAGGGATGGGGCCAGGACTATCAGAGAGTGGGGTACTGCTTTCGGAGATTGTGGAGTGTAGCAGCAGTGATGCAGAGGACCCTGAGGAGCCTGTGCCCAGTGTGCATGTGTGCAGGGCTGCTCGAAGGAAAGAGCAACTGCAGCAGCATGGGCGACTCGGGAATAAGGCTGTAAGGTGATGGCCCCTCCATTAAGGGATAAAAGCCAGCCCTCAGGGATTCTTTGCAGGAAGCAAAGAAGTTCTTGCACTTCAAGTCCTCCTGGAAGTTTGGTCTATCCTGGTTTGTTTTCAGAGACTTTTGGCTTTGAATATTTCCTTGCACTTAATCTTGTGTTCTTGGCAGGCTTGCACAACCTTCACAGGGTTTGCTCTTATCTGGGACAATTAGTTTTAATAGCGCTTTGCTGTGAATGAACAGAATTTACAGAGACCCATTAAAAAGGTTTTGCCTTTATCTATGTTTTGCATTTTTTGATTTGAACGAGGCTTGGGTCAGAACACTTAAAGAAGACTGAGGGATGAAAAAAACAATAGTTTGGTTTCTAATTTGGTTGTCTTTCCCCTAAGCCTAAACCTAGGTCAGGGCTGAATCCAGGAGTTCATAGTAGGGGTGGTCTGGTCCCTGGTGGAAAGGGTCAGATTAGTTTTATATTGCAGTTTTTATTAGTTGTTGTGAGCCACCAAGATTCATTGTGTGATATTAGATGGCTTTATCATTTCAGTAAAAAAAAATGAATATTTTGAACTACATTGCCCACTAGCCTTAGCTTTTCCTCCCTCCTGGCATTCATAGATTGTTCTGAAACTGTATAAAAAGGAGCCTTTTTGTCAAGTAGAGATCTTTGTTACAAAGATCAACAGTAGAGGCTCTCCTGAAGAGAACTAACAGGAAAGAGTCTTCTTCAGGGTATGGAATACACTTTGTAAAGGGATGTGTTTGGCTACCACTCTTTCAGTAATTAGGTAGATGAAAAAACTGCTTCATTTTTGCCTTCATTTTTAATTGTTAATTATTTTAATTAGCTTTGATTTTGGCATTGGTTTTAACTGTTTCATTTTATTAAAATATTATATTGCATTGTTGCATAATCATTATGTGGAGGGAGGGAGTACCTCCCCCTAAAGATACTGCTCATCTAAATAAAGCTGCCAACTAGCAAAACTACAAGAGAAAATACAAGATAAAACTGTTTTTCAAATTTCAAATTTGGCTTAAATCTAGCATTTTTCAGACAAACAGCAAATTCCATTATCACTCCATCAAAAAGATTTAAGTTCACTGCAGTCTAGACTTAACAAAATTTCATACATACTTACATATAAACATAAATTAAATCACACTGTAGAATGTCTACTTTTTTTTGTAGGCATAGTAACCTCTCATTACAAAGGTCAGTCCAAAATAGACTGAAATGCCAAAGGAGGGAAAACAAATAAGCAGAAATAATGGGAAGAAAAGCATGCCCAAGTCATTGATATACAGTTTTAGATGATTTCATATAATGGTAAAAACAATAAAGTAAAAGCTATTTCTTGAGAAATAGAAAAGGAAGAGTCTTACTGGAGTTTATTTTCTCACAAGAAGAGAGAATGAGATAAAGACAGGATGTACTGGTCTTCCTTTATGCTTTATGTTTAAAGTATTTTTTAAGACTCAAAACAATAAAGAGTAAATCAAGAGATTGACATTTTTTCTGAGATGGCAATTACTCCAGAAAAGTTATCTTCTGAATAGCGACATACTTTTCTGTTTAGGCAAGGCAATTTCTAATTGTTACAACTGTTTTTGCATTAGATCATTGGCAAAGTAACACCTGAGAAATTATGAAATATTTTAAGCATTACATCCTTACATTTTAAAATATAAGGTTACCCTATTCAGATTCAGTATAACTTGGTATGTTGTTGGTGAGACAATTGTTAAATATGTTTTACTCCATTTCACACCTTTCCTTGCCACATGATTGTTAAGTGAATCTGACTTTCTCTATTGACTTTGTTTGTCATAATGTTGCAAAATTTCATAAAATGACCCCAGGACACTGCAACCATTATAAATATGAGTCAGTTGCCAAGCATCGGAATTTTGATCACGTGAGCATGGGGATTCTGCAATGGTCATAAATGTGAAAAATGGTCATAAGTCATGTTTTTCAGAGCCATTTTAACTTTGAACAGTCACCAAAAAATGGTTGTAAGTCAAGGACTAAATAAGTGTCTGGACAATTCTATTGAGGAATAAGTTGTACTACACTACATGTTAACAGAATGAAAGGCAATCACTCTTGCTAATAACAAAAATTATCAAACTAGTATTTGAAAAAAATCATAAATACTTCTTAACATTATATACAATCAGTTTATATAACTCCTAATTTTAGTAGTACTACGGTACATTATTTTATGTCTTCATCTAGACAAGAGAATTCCAACTTCTTATTCTGATTGTCAAACAATTTTGTAACCTCATAAAATCTTCATTAAATTAACATTTTCAACTACTTAATAAACAGTGATACTTTTCCACACGTTATTTTACAAAGAGTATTACCAGTTCTCGGGGCAGAAAGGTTTCTTCCTGGCGACCAATGACCAGGGAAACAATCTCTCCTTGTTTTGTGCTTCTTAGAGTAGCTACAAGTTCTTCTTGAGTTCTGCCAGTGATATCTCTACCATTCACCTAATAACATCATAAACGAGCAAGTTAGCAAAAATTGTTAACAATATATTATTAAATATTGAGCAATTTAATCCACATAGTATGAAATTGAGATTGGGGCCTAAACCATCTGAGCAATCCATCTTGCAGATGTTTCAAAGTTTCTTTCCCTTCTTTAGCAGTGAGCTCTATATCTACTGATATTCCCTGCAAGAATACTACTTCAACCCACCCCATCCTCCAATGAAAGAAAGCACAGGGCTATTGAAGGGTTGGTTATGGTTGCATTGGATAAAACTCAAGGAAAATCCTGATGAAGATATAAGAATGGAGCATTAAATTTGCGTATCACAGAAGACATACTTCAAAATATTTCTCACCCAAGCCAAATGTTGTCACAAAGATTAAACTTGAATGTTGATTTCTAATTCTCTCTAACAATGTCATTTTATTTAAATATGATTTCACTTCATTCAGAACTGCAGATTACCTTCCCCAAAAATATGATTGGGTCTTATTTTGGAGCATTTGGGCTTATTTTCCTATTAGGTCTTATTTTGGGGAAAACATGTTATCTATTTGCCTTTTGTCAAGTAAAGTATGGTGAATTGCTACTGAAGAAAGGGTCTTTCCAGATGTAGCATTTTAAGTATACCGAGAGAAACTTGCTTTGTGCTTTTTTTCACATTATGTGAGAAACATATTTAACAAATATATCCAAAACCTGTTTAAATATTGTTGGGAAGGTTTTCTTTTACAGAATAATTTTATCGGTTTCAATAGATCCTGATAATCAATATCATCCAAAATGTCTGATTGGTTGAACCTTAAACTTGGCATATTTAGGAGGAGATTTACATCTCTTAGATGTGGGATATCTAAGGAGCATTTATTACTTCTGAATTCCAAATTCTCAATTTTGGTCAGCCAAATTTTAAAAACAAAAATGGGAAAGTATCATGAATTTAAGCATAGGTTTTGAATATCCAAGAAGCCTGACCTAGAAGCTAACAATTATCTAGAGCAATAGGGCAAGAAGATGATAACCTTATTTTGTTTAAAAAATGCAGTATGTAGTTATATTTGCAAAATTATACTTGCAAAAATGCAAATAAATTGGTTGTTATGAGTATTTTATAAGTCACTTGAGCCTATGTTTTACATTAAACAGGTTTTATCAGTCAAAAAAGTTTCATATAATGGCCCTCACCAAATACTGTGTTTAATTAACTTAATAGTAAGATATGTGCTGAGGAATAGATTTCCAACCTCCAGTATTCTGTCTCCTGAATGCAAACGGCCATCTTTAATTGCTGCACCTCGAGGCAAAATATTCTTTACAAATATAGGGCCAGGACCGTGTATGGAGGAGTCCCTGGTGACCACTGTAAAACCTAGTCCTTCAGGTCCTAAAGAATAAAAGAAGTATTTGTAAATATGAGGCAACCAACAAGTAACAGGGCTGTTCTCCAAAGTTTTAATATTTAATATTTATATTAAAAATGGGTTTGTTTTCAATTAGATAAGAATAGTAGGATCCATTCTTTGTTTTAGTGCTGAATTAAGACACACTGTTCAGCTTTTCTGTGCAGCAACAGTTTCTTTCATCTGATTTCTTCAAATTCAACATTAATTCTTTAACATATGCTTCCCCACTTCCATTCTATACATTGTTCTTATGTAAAGCATGCAGTAACTCAAGGAATGAACACAAGCTTTAGTGATATATTACATTAGAAAAGGTCAAAAGAACAGGAAAAAAAATATCTGGAAGCATTTTCTAACCTGCATAAAGAATAGGGATTTCTTTCATCCCAACTTTATTATTTTTATTAAGGCAGCAAATATACATAATATTCCTTCCTCTTACTAGTGAAGTGAATAAGCAGAGAGAGAGTGTGTGTGACTGACCCAAAATCACCCACCTGGTTTCATGTTGAAGGTGGAATTAGAACATATAGACTGCTGGTTTTGTAGCCTGTATATTAATCACTGGACCTAATTGACCAATTTTTTACATTATTATTAGTGTGCAGTATTCAAGTCCAAATGGGCCAAAACGCTTCAGCTCTGGTGTGGCCACCCTCACTGAATCTATTGGTGGCTCCTGAAAGGAGCTTTCCCTTCACTTGGACTTTTATGGTAGGCTTGTGGACTCAAAAAAGTATTTGCTTGAGTCCAGGAGACACTGCAGAAGTGGCAACCACAGGCTAAACATTTCCATAACTGAAATGAGCCTCATGTACAGTAGCTGTGTAAGTCTGGTGCAACAACAGTTATAAATGGATTGCCCCAGGAGTGGGATTCTACCGGTTTGGACCAGTTCTATAGAACCAGTTATTATGATTCTGCGCAGTTCAGAGAACCAGCAAATTGTGCCCTGGCTGGCCCCACCCCTCTCTGCCCGCCCCTCCCCTCACTGCCCAGTCAGTCCTTATCATGCATGCACATCGTGGACATGCCCGACATCACTGACTGTGTTCTCCCCACCCAGTCACTCCTTAAGGTATTTATTTCCCCGCCCCACAACGATCAACTGTTCCAATGATCAGATATGCCGGGACCCTCCTCGCTCTCTTACTGCTTCACCCAGGAAGCCTCACTGAGGCCCAAGAGGCAAAAAAGGGCAGGGGGGAAGGGCAGGGGTGTGTGTTGGCTGCCCCTCAATGCTCCATTTTTTTTGCCTTCCTGGCTAGCAAAAATGGCCCCTCCGAAAGCTTCCCTGAGGCCCAGGAGGAACAACAAAAAGCGGGGGGGGGGGTTGCTGCAAAAAAAGTAGAAGCCACGCCCACCTAGCCATGCCCACAAACCAGTTGTTAAAAATTTTGAATCCCACCCCTGGATTGCCTACATTGTATCTGAAGCACCTTTGCTAACTTTAGATCTGAGTATCTTAGAGTAGACTCCTAACTTACACACAAAGCCAAAATGGAAATCTTTCTTTGATAAAGACTTAAGACAGAATTTATTAGAGGAGTTCATGTTATAGAATACAGCTTGAAATTGTTTTTCATGGTGACCTATACATGCAGATTTTGCAAGGAGTTATTTGTAGCCAACACATAGTAATATATAAATAATCATAAGACAGAAGGACTGAAAGAGAGGAAAAAGAATGTGACACCTTCTTAAACAGTTTTGCTCCTAGCTATACTCAGAGTAAGTCTATATGTTTATGGAATGTGGAATAATTTTAAGTGCAAAGGTTAAAAATTTGGAAACTGATGCAGTATCAAATCTTTCTAATTGCTAGTTTATGAAGTATTCCTTTATTTTACTTTCTTAGAGTACTTTATGGACAAAAACATTGAAATAAGTAGAACTTGAGCCTTTCAAGCTATGGGTAAATCATTTAGCATTTAAGAAAATAGTCAGCTGTGTCAGACTACCCTAATCCTCAATGGAACATTCTCAAGTGAGCTTTGAGAAGAAGTAAATTGTTGACCTTTTTAATCTGACAGATGTTTGACTTTGAATTTAACATGCAAATAGCTGGTTGTAATAATTCAGTGTTCAAACTTCAAACTAAATTCTCTTAATTCTGTTCTGTAACATAATTTCAGGAAATACTGGTTCACTGTAGAAATGGAACATTCCATAGAAAGTCTTCTTAAAACCTTAACATCCAGTATTGTACAATGGAATACTGAAAATTATTCAACTAAATCTTATCAGTACAGTGGTATCAAGTTATTATTTCATGTTATTATAATATTCTAGCAGACATAATCTTTGTTGACTGAAAATAAAAGCAAAGGAAATCCAACTGGAAAGATTTTGAAATGCTATATACTGATCCCATACTTGTATTCAAATACCCCTGGATACATGGAAGCTATTATTTACTAGCTGCCTCCCATGTATAAGTGCTCACTTATTTCTGTTTTCAGATAGCATGCCAGCTGCTTTTGCAATGAATGAGTCAAATTTATACATCCACATCAACTGTATGTTTTAAAAAATCATATTTGGAAAGTATTAACAACTTATAACCATTACCTTTTTTGAGATCAACCCTTATTTTCTTTGCATTTTTCTTGCTGCCAAACCCCATCAATGGGGATAAGGATGGTGATGGAGGTTTCGTATTAATTCTTGAGAAGATAGGACTCTTGGAAGATGCATGTGTATTAGTCTCTAAATCAGTTGCTTCAGAGAAATCTGTCTCTTTCATCATCAGCTTTGGATAGGCTGCAAATGGAAACTTTCCTTTGGAAATATGTTCAGCTTTATTTGGGGAGTACAATGGTGCGATGACTGACTTTTCATATTGTTCACGGCCATACGAAGGGACAACTTCCAGGATGATGTTCTGAGATTTCATTGCTTGGCGGAAAAGGTCTTGTGCTCTTGGGGGGAAAAACATAAACTAGTCTGAGCAATTAAGCAGTGTCATTGCTTATTAATTAATTTATTAAACCTTTATGCTGTTCATCTTACCTAGATGTGTCTCTAGGTGGTTTACAACCAGTAAAACACCAATATAAATATAAAAACTATAAATAGTAACACTAAAACTGGTTAAAATTGAGAAAGAGGGGAAAGAAGGGAGTGAGATGAAAACAGAGAGGAGGTGGGGTATTATGTTAGTCCATTAACCATGTCCGTTCCTCCAGCACACAGGAAATGGACCTCAATCTAACATTCCATCTAATTGGAAGCTTTCTAGCCAGCATCTGATTGATTTTCTGGGGAAATCAGGAGAGAAGATTGCAAATGGAAATCACATGATCATAGGGCACTTGGCAGTTGTAAATCTGAACAGGTTGTTGTAAATCTGAACAGGGCCACACAAAATGTGGTCATGGACTTAGGGGGAGGGGCATAATCTTTTCCAATAACTGAAGTGCTTTATGAGATGTAAAGGATCCATTCTGAGGCTGCCATGACTGTGAACTGCTGTTAAATGGCCAGTTGTAAATGATGACTACCTCCATACATGCAATATTACTAATTAACTAGTAAGGAAAATTCACTTTATAGCACTTTAACAACATTCTGTGTGCTTTGGCATATAGTCATGCCATGGAAATGGCCATGGAAATATCTTCTGACAATTCTAGGTCCCTCAATTATGAAACGGAGATGAGTATTGCCCCCTAAAGTCAGATTCAATTGGACAGGGGAATTGTTTACCTTTATCTTTATATGCCATTTATAAAATATCTCTTCTAAGATTGTTTTGCATACATCTTGTACTTGTACAGATATATTCAAATTTCAACAGGCATATGTTAGACAAAATTTGTCTAAAACTCCTGCTAAGGTAACTACTTATAAAAAATGAACAGACATCCTATGAACTTTGGAAAAATAAAACAGTCTACTTTTAAAAGAAATGCAAGTAATTTGGATATTTTTGGAACACATAATGGAAAGCTGCCTTAAAAATAAATATCTAATTTTCATGAAATAAAACTAATGAAGTGTTTGTTAATTGAGTTCTTTGTGTTATAAAAAGATTGATTAATGATGTTTATGATTCTTTATTAAGAACAATCTTTGAAGTTTTTAGATTGATTACTAAAGAAATATTACAAACACTAGTAAAACATTCAGATTGAGAAAAAAGATTTGAGCATATAGCAACAGGAAAAAGCATGAAAGCCAGATAGCTGACTCTGGGCCAGTCAATCTCTCTCAGCCCAATTCACTTCAGAGGGTAGTTGTGGGAAAAATAGGGCAGGAAAGATAGGTTGGTTATGTTTGCCACCTTGATTTTATTAAAATAATAAAGGTGGACACAAATAAATAAATGATACTTTTGTTCCAGGACATCTGTACTTGAAAAATATTAGTGCTCTATAGAGAAAAAATAAATATTTAAATTATTTTGTTCAATTGTTTTACTTTTGAAACTTTGCAATGAACATATTTTTAATACAAGAAAAAATAAGGAAAATGAAGAAAACTCACTGTGCAAAGGTTTTATCTGCAAGTTGAATATTGTTAATTTTCACAATGCATTCATTTTCATAGAAAAGTCCATCCCGCTTAGACCGGCTATTTTCCTCAATACCACGGATGAAGAGTCCTAAAATCCTGGAGGAATTGTAAAATACATTTAAGTGAACTTTAAATCATCTGTACAAGGTTGTGATTCAAAATTTGCTTCTGTGCTCTTTGAAAAACAGATCATTTCCTAGATTCCCTTTTCCCCTTCAGACCATTGAAGGTCATTGCACTGTATCTGTGGAAAATAAACCGATATGAATTTCTTCCTACTTTGTCCAGCATCTCTATAAGGTATACAGAATGCTGGGGAACTGCAAGAATCCACTTTGCCTTAAATGCCAGTGTTGGGGCAGGATATTATGATGTAGCCCATTTTATGTTTGTCCTGGTTTGAATAATTTTTCACTTGTTGATTTTGAAGATCTGGGGAAGTGTGAACTTTCTTCCTGCTGGCCGAGGGAGGGGGAGAGAGAGAGAGAGAGAGTGTTTAGTATTTCCTTATAGGATGTGAATTCCCTTTCTGCCTTAAGATAGACTGACAAGAAGAGTATTTAGGAAACATCTTATTTGCTTGAAAAGCCTGGAAATATTATTGGTCAGTCTCAAAAGTATTGTTTCTGGCTAAAGTGATGGAGATAGGAATGGCCTGAAAATTCCAGATTTATCTGAATGACATTGTAGGCCTACTTCAGTTGGGATTTTGGCTGGGATGTGGAATCAAGATTGCTTAGATTCTGAGATGTAAGGCCTCAAAAAGGTTTCCCCCCCAATATTTATTTTTAATTTGGAAAAAAAGCTAAATATTTGCTATTATCTTATTTTAAATGATACTTTAAAAAGATATGATAGAAGATATGATAGAAATGGACCTAAGTTTGGAAATACACATACCAAATAAAAAAATAATCCTATCTGATTCAGAAATATGTTTCAATATAGGAAAGCCCTATCTCAACATTCAAAAGGCCAAAATGTCAGAAAAAGATTTTTTTTAAATTATAGCGATGCATTCAGAACAGGTGTGCAGTTTAATACAAAGACAAAATTCAAGATTTAATGCCTGCCAGCATCTTCTTGGAAGAAGTCTCTATTTGTAGCAAAGATTTATAAAAATCTATAATAACTATAATTATATGTGTACATCATAGAGTATACATTATGGCTAGTCTATAAATGTATACAAAGATGTGATGAGTATGAAATTAAAATGATTGTTCAGAAAATTATAATTATTATAGATTCTTATAGATCTTTACTACAAATAGAGACTACCTTTCAAGAAGATGCTGGCAGGCATTAAATCTTGAAGTGTGTGTGTGTGTGTGTGTGTGTTCCTGTGTATGTGCGTTTGTTCCTGTGTATGTATGTGTGTGTATTCAAAGTAGCTATAATGCTTTAGCTACAATGTATATTAAAAATTATTTCTCCCTTCCTAAGTGGGCTGTTTTAAGCAGGGGTGGGATTCTACAGGTTCGCACCTATTCGCTAGAACCGGTTGTTAACATTCTAAGCAGTTCAGAGAACCGATTGTTAGAAGAAATTACTGGCCTAATCCTGTAAGGATGGCAGGAAGGAAACATTCTGGTGTTGCTTACAGAAACTGCCTTTCCGTTAACCCTTATTACATTCTTGGCAGGACTAGACTTCCTGTCTCAGGAACATCTCTGGAGTCTTTTTTCCCTTCTTTACTGGTACTTTGCTTGTGTGGAGTGACCATTCAAAGTTACAATGGCACTGAAAAAAGTGACTTATGACCATTTTTCACACTTACAACTGTTGCAGCATCCCCACAGTCATGAGAGGCCAGGCGAAGAGATGCGTGCCTCGATGTGAGTGATATTGAGTTGGCCACACCCAGCCAATAACATGACCACCAAGCCATGTCCACCCAGTCACATAACCACCTAAGCCACGTTCACAGAACTGGTTGTTAAAAAATTTGAATCCCACCCCTGGTTTTAAGTATATGTCAAGATAGAGATGCTAAATCCATGCCTCAGGAATCAATCTTCTCTACCACTCTATTTTATAATTACTGTATACAAAGTTGGTAGGGAGGATTGTATGATGGGCTTGGGTTTGGCATCAATAATATTTGTTTGTAATATTCAGTTATGCATCTCCATTCTAGGATATATAGGAGTTGTGGTGAAAATGTTGACCCACTATCATAAATTGTAAAGATCTAGATGGGAAGAAGCAAGTTGATATTCAACTCGAACAAGATGGAGTGGCTGTGGATTCAGGCTGTTGGCTGTTGGAAAATTCCAATATCAGGTCTGGACAGAGGTATGATTTCTAAGAAAAAAAATACTGGTGTGTAATCATATGTCCCTGAATTAATTTATGCTAGAGCAGATAGAAGGTGAGAAAGGTTTTTGCTGATTGATTATAGTCACTCAACACTCTTCATCTCACAGACAATAAAGAACTCTAGGTCTTAAAACTGAAGTAAATGAAAAATGCAGATTTCCACCTGTTAACAGTAGTACATTGCGGTAGTAATAAAATAGGGAAGCACATTAATTGTTCATTTGTTTCTAGGTGTACGTCAGGGTCATTGTGATCACTTTTAAAATCCTACATTGTTGGAGCCTGGCAATCTCCAAGATTGCTTGCTCCAAGTAGAATCTCCCCATCCAAGTTTTGCATGCAGAGTATGACAAGAAGAGCAGAGAGGGCATATTAACAGATGTGTATTGTTTTAGAAAAAATGAAGAAATTGGGAATCTTTACTCATAGGAGGCTGGGGGGCATGGCTTGGTGGTCATGTGACTGGGTGGGCATGGCCAACTCAATGTCACTCACATCAAGGGGTGCCTCACCTGGCCCCTCCCCTCCCAGCCATTCCTTGTCACCCAGCCTCAACTTATCTATAGTTCTGTAAAAATGTTGTTCACCTTTTTGACTTTATTATCTGCATACTATAGATGTACTTTCATGGACCACTGAAAGGAGGAAATGGCTCACATGCTTTACTCAAGAGTGTGATAGGCAACAGGCTTTTAAGGGGCTGCCACAAAGAAATGTATTTTCCAAAGAAGCAGAATGCAAACAAGAAGCAATGGATGGAAACTGAACAGACAGAAGCAATCTAAAACGAAGGAGAAACTTCCTGACAGTGAGAACAATTAACCAGTGGAACTGCCTGTCTCCAGAAGTTCTGGGTGCTCAATCATTGGAAGTTTTTAAGAAAAGACTGGACAGCCATTTATCTGAAATGGTATAAGGTTCACCCCAAGGTCCCTTCTAAATATTATTCTGACACCTTTTACAGGATTTCTACTCAGTTTTCTTGCCTGAGCTGGGGGTTGGACTAGAAGACCTCCAAGGTCCCTTTCAACTCTTGTTAAACACATGTGCATTTTATGCTCTGGACTATTGACATTGAATGCATGTAAACCCTGAAAAATATGTGGTAGTTCTGGGCAAAATAAAGGCAGAAAAATCACTCTAGGTGTAGGGACAGTGTAAAATATTACACATGATAAATAATGGAACAATTAAAAATAATAGCACAGAGTTTTATCTCTCTCTCTCTTCCTATTTTTTTTCTTTCTTTCTCTACCTTCCTCTTTCTTTCTTTCTCTACCTTCCTCTTTCTTTCTTCTTTCTTTCTTTTTCTTTCTCTTTCTTTCTTTCTTTCTTTCTTTCTTTCTTTCTTTCTTTCTTTCTTTCTTTCTTTCTTTCTTTCTTTCTTTCTTTCCTTCCTTCCTTCCTTCCTTCCTTCCTTCCTTCCTTCCTTCCTTCCTTCCTCTCTCTCTCTCTCTCTCTCTCTTACACACACACACACACACACACACACACACACACACACACAGCACTTAACAGACAAGCATTTTGGAAGCAGCTCCTTTAAATTTCTCCAAGGCTTGAGTGAATTCCCCCGCCCCCTCTGTCAGACCGCACTCCTTCTCACTCCAGCACTTTAACTCACAAGGGGAAAGCGATACTTGCAGCGTCCATGCCTTTCTTCCTTTTCCCTGGGGAGAAAGAGGACGTGGGGAATGGAAAGCTAGGAGAGCGATTGCAAGTGAGCGACCAGGTGACCGGGTTGGGGACGTGGCCAGCCAGGGATTGCCACCGGTTCGGCGACCCATGCCAAATAACCACTACCGGTTCGCCCAAGTAGGTGCGAACCGGTTGAATACCACCTCTGATACTCATCGCTACTTAGGCCAAGACTGAACAGCATGTTTTTATCTGCTCTGATTTCTTACATTTTGAATTATAGTTACTTGTGTGCCTATCTATTTTTTTTGCTCTTTGGATTGTCTATAAAGTTTTATTAGAAATATTAAAATACCTCACATGAAATGGAGATATTAACCACTAAAATGTTGGCTATACCATTGTTATAATGGAAAGGATGCTTTTATTAAAATTTTGTTGTACTGTCTGCTAAATTTGGGTTCAAAATTATTGAGGAAATTTTGAAAACAATAGCAGTTTTCTGGGTTTTATCAAATGATCCAAATAGTCTAATTAAAAACCAAGGCTAAGACATTTTAAACTATATGTTATTGACAAAGTTGTAGGATATAGTGGTAAGTTTATTTCAGGGAAAGGCAATGACAAACCACTGCTGTTCTATTGCCAAGAAAGCTGTACGAATGTGTCACCAGTAGCATCACCAGGAAATTACATCATTCTTTATAGAGGAAGTTCATCAGAACAATCTCAGTTAGAATTCCATGCTGGGGTAGGTGACAGAGGTATAACTTCAGCTATAACTTGGTGTTCTGTACAGTCATTTACATACTCGTAAATGCCGCGCGGTGATTGGACAAGACGCGCGGCGAGCTGATTGGCCGAGCGAGCCGCAGTGATTGGCCCGCTGCGAATCTCCCGCGATTGGTGGAAACTAATCGCGGGAGATTCAAAGCGGTGTCATTGGCCGCGGCCGCTGCGACCAAAGAATAAAAGCCGCCGCTTTTCCCTTTTGGGGCCGAGCCGATCTCGGAGCAAATAAAGAGCTGAAACTAAGTCACTGGCTCCGAGTCTTTTTCCACGACGGACACGACACTGGCGACGAAGGTGGGATACCAAGCCTAATTCCCGAAAGCACGTGTCCGGAGGAAACAAGA